TAAAAAAATTTTATTCGACTTATAATTAATATTATATGAATCACATTAATCCATTATTAACTTTCATTTAAATCATTGTATATATTACTAAAAGTTATTTTATAAAATTTTCTCTCAATCTCAATTATACTCTCTAAATCAATTTTAATGATGATCAATCATTAAAAAGTAATAAAGATAATACTATATACTCTACATACTTTATATATATGAAATAATAAATCTTGAAAATATAAAAATCACAAAATCTTATATTAAATTAATTAAACTATATCATTGCCTTAAATAACTGAATTAGTTCATAATTAAAGAAAAAAAAATTCAAATATGAATATAAGAGTATTTGATTTCAAAAAATAAAAATTTTAAAATAAGTAAAATCAATTTGATAATATAAAATATTAAATCTTGGTTTTCTTTTGAAGTTGAATTCTTCGTTGTCGTCTCCCTCTTAGTCTTAAGGAGAAAAACTTCTATTTTTATCATTCAAGTTCTTTTTTCATTAAGAATGAAAACTGTATAAAATTTATTAAAAATCACATTCTTTCCACCCAAACTGACGTGTAATTTGGCATTTTCTTGTTGTGAAATACATCTCATCAACACACAGCAATGCTTTGGGGTGAATGCGCTTAAAAGCAGCCGAATTAAGCATTTAGTTTACTCTGCCAAACTACAAATAAACTAGCATACATAACTCATTGATGGGCACTGTTGCTAACATGTTCCATCTCTCCTGCATCCTCAAAGCGTTGGCGATTAATCTGAGGCTGCAATTATAAACTCTAATCAAAAGAGAAGCCATTAAGGAGGTAAGATATGATAAGAAAACAACTTTCCCGGAAAAAAAAAAAGGATTGTTCATGCAGAAAATAACAAGAAATTTTTCTAATTAGAGGTTTAACATTTATTTTTGAAGCACAAAGTAGAGGATGTTGAGGAAAATAAATCATAGTCAAAAGGAGCACAACCATATTTGAGAGCTACAAATCAAACATGTTGGCAGAACACCTAAAGCACTAAATGAGCAAGGTCAAATCCCATTCAGAATCTTCAGTCTCTAGAAATATTAATCTGGTCACCAAGAGAATAGAATATGAAAAAACACCGAGAAAAGAAGTACAGTCACTAGGCGGCACATGCCTCGTTTACTATATACAGCATATTTAACGTGG